TTCCTCAGATTAGGTCAAGCACTGCCCCACCTCTAGTAGGATTATCTGCGTATTGGAACAAAAAGCTCTCCTGGATGCACTTTTAAAAATTCCATCTCCTCTAATTCTTTTGCACCAAGGTGATCTGAGTTCATGTTCGCAAAAATGAAATCTCCTACTACTATAACCTTATGCCTCTCACGCCTCTCTGACTGCCTATATATCTGCTCCTCTATTTCCCTCTTCCTTTTGAGAGGCCTGTAGAATAATCACAGCCAAGTGATCACTCCTGGTTTTTATTTCTAAGCTCTTCCCAGATGGCCTCATTTGAAGACTCTTCTAGGACACCCTCCCTTATTACTGCGGTGATGTTCTTTCACCTATAATGCAAAGCCCCCACCTCGCTCACATTCTGCCCGATCAGTTCTGAAATTTTTACATCCTGGAATATTGAGCTACAGTCCTGCCCTTCCTTCAAACATGTCTCAGTGATTACAATAACATCACATTCCCATGTGCTGATCAATGGTCTAAGTTTATCCACTGTACCAATCAGCCTCCTTGCATTAAAATTCTACAATCCAGCTTTCCAGTCCTCTCACATGCCTTATCACGCCCATGTCTTCTCCATCTGCTGGACTGTCCTAATATCCCTTCGACATCTGAATGAATTTTGCACTAAGTCTACATGTGATCCAGTTGATTCTGAAACTGAGATCCTAAATCTGAAAAAGGGAAATTAGGAAGAGATGAGGGACAATATAGACAATATCTATACAAATATACATTCCTCCAAAGTACAATCAGCCAAAGGAAGTAGTAAATCAACTGTGGTTAATGAAGAAGTTGAATTAGATCAAAGGATTCACTTAAAAGATGCCAAAAACAGTGGTAAGCATGGGGATTGAGAGCAAGTTCAGCAGGTAATAGGGAAGGCAAATGGAATTTGGAATTATTTCAAAGGAAAGGGTGGGTAACAGTGGGGAGGTCTTGCTACAACTAGACAATGCACTAGTCAGACCAGTGTGTGAACACGCTGTGAACGGTTTTGGTCCCCTTATCTAAGGAAAGGATACTGACAATGGAGGCAGTCTAAAGCAGGTTCACAAGGTTGATCCCAGGTATGGCAGGACTCTCTTCTGAGGAGAAGTGGAGTAGGTCAGGTCTACACTCAGTTTGGAAGTTGAACATAGAACATAGAACATAGAACATTACAGCGCAGTACAGGCCCTTCGGCCCTCGATGTTGCGCCGACCTGTGAAACCAATCTGAAGCCCATCTAACCTAAACTATTCCATTATCAACCATATGTTTATCCAATGACCATTTAAATGCCCTTAAAGTTGGCGAGTCTACTATTTTTGCAGGCAGGGCATTCCATGCCCTTACTACTCTCTGAGTAAAGAACCTATCTCTGACATCTGTCCTATATCTATCACCCCACAATTTAAAGCTATGTCCCCTCGTGCTAGCCATCACCATCTGAGGAAAAAGGCTCCCACTGTCCACCCTATCTAATCCTCTGATCATCTTGTATGTCTCTATCAAGTCACCTCTTAACCTTCTTCTCTCTAACGAAAACAGCCTCAAGACCCTCAGCCTTTCCTCATAAGACCTTCCCTCCATACCAGGCAACATCCTGGTAAATCTCCTCTGCACCCTTTCCAATGCTTCCACATCCTTCCTATAATGCGGTGACCAGAACCGTACGCAATACTCCAAGTGCGGCCGCACCAGAGTTTTGTACAGCTGCATCATGACCTCACGGCTCCGAAACTCAATCCCTCTACCAATAAAACCTAACATACTGTACGCCTTCTTAACAACGCTATCAACCTGGGTGGCAACTTTCAGTGATCTATGCACATGGACACCGAGATCTTTCTGCTCATCCACACTACCAAGAATCTTACCATTAGCCCAGTACTCTCTATTCCTGTTACTCCTTCCAAAGTGAATCACCTCACACTTTTCCGCATTAAACTCCATTTGCCACTTCTCAGCCCAGCTCTGCAGCTTATCTATGTCCCTCTGTAACCTGCAACATCCTACCGCACTATCCACAACTCCATCAACTTTGGTGTCATCCGCAAATTTACTAACCCATCCTTCTACGCCCTCATCCAGGTCATTTATAAAAATGACAAACAGCAGTGGCCCCAAAACAGATCCTTGAGGTACACCACTAGTAACTGAACTTCAGGATGAACATTTCCCATCAACCACCACCCTCTGTCTTCTTACAGCTAGCCAATTTCTGATCCAAACCGCTAAATCACCCTCAATCCCATACCTCCGTATTTTCTGCAATAGCCTACCATGGGGAACCTTATCAAATGCTTTACTGAAATCCATATACACCACATCAACTGCTTTACCCTCATCCACCTGTTTGGTCACCTTCTCGAAGAACTCAATAAGGTTTGTGAGGCATGACCTACCCTTCACAAAACCGTGTTGACTATCCCTAATCAAATTATTCCTTTCTAGATGATTATAAATCCTATCTCTTATAATCCTTTCCAACACTTTACCCACAACAGAAGTAAGGCTCACTGGTCTATAATTACCAGGGTTGTCTCTACTCCCCTTCTTGAACAAGGGGACAACATTTGCTAGTCTCCAGTCTTCTGGCACTATTCCTGAAGACAATGACGACATAAAGATCAAAGCCAAAGGCTCTGCAATCTCCTCTCTAGCTTCGCAGAGAATCCTAAGATAAATCCTATCCAGCCCAGGGGACTTATCTATTTTCACACCTTCCAGAATTGCTAACACCTCCTCCTTATGAACCTCAATCCCATCTAGTCTAATAGACCGTATCTCAGTATTCTCCTAGACTACATTGTCTTTTTCCTGTGTGAATACTGACGAAAAATATTCATTTAGCACCTCTCCTATCTCTTCGGATTCCACGCACAACTTCCCACTACTGTCCGTGACCGGCCCCAATCTTACTCTAGTCATTCTTTTATTCCCGACATACCTATAGAAAGCTTGAGAGGTGACCTTCTTGAAAGAAACTATATTCTTAGGAGACTTGACAGGGTAGATGAGGAAAGGTCATTTCCCCTTGAGGGTAAGTCTGGGACTAGAAGGCATTTTCTTTGAATAAAGTGTCAACCCTTTAAGACATATTGGGAAGGAATTTCTTTTCTCAGTAATAGTGATTCTGCAGAATTCCTGACTGCAAAGGATTGTAGAAGCTGGTTCGTTAAGCATATTCAAGGTTGTGATAGACATTTTTATTCAGTTAGGGAGTCTAGGATTATTGGGAAAAGGCAGGAATGTGCAGTTGAGGATTATTCAATCAGCCATGATCTCACTGAATAGCAAGGCAGACTCAAGGGGCTGAATAAGTCACTTCTACTCTACGTCTTACAGCATTGCGAGCAGGCTGCAAGGAGGCTTTAAGAGGATTTGGATAGGCAATAACAGTGCAGATAGAATTTAAAGCAAATAAGTGACAGGTATTGGATTTTGGTAAGGCAAACCAGGGCAGGACTTATACAATTAATGGTAGGGAAAGTATTGCTGTATAAAAGAGACCCAGCAGTGCAGGTGTATTGTTCCTTGAACCGCAGGTAGACAGGGTGGTGAAGGCAGCATTTGGCACACTTGCTTTCATTGGTCAGTGTATTCAGTGTAGGGGTTGGGAGGTCATGTTGCAGTTGTACAGAACACCAGTTAGGCCGCTTCTAGAATACTGCATTCAATTCTGGTCTCCCTGCGACAGGAAAGATGTTAAATTGAAAGTGTTCAGAAAAGATTTACAAGGATATTGCAGAAATGCAGGGTTTGAGCTATTGGCAAAGGCTGAACAGGCGGAGGCGTTTTTCCCCCTGGAATGTCAACGGTTGAGAGGTGGCCTTATAGAGGTTTGTAAAATCATGAGGGGCATGGATAGGGTGAATAGCCAAGTTCTTTTTCCCAGGGCAGGGGAATCCAAAACAAAAAAGAGTGTAGATTTAAGATGAGAGGGGACAGATTTAAAAGGGATCTAAAGGGCAACTTGTTCATGCAAAGGGTGTTGTGTGTATGGAATGAACTGCCAGAGGAAGTGGTGGAATTACAACATTTAAAAGGCATCTGGATGGGTCCATGAATAGGAAAGGCTTGAGGGATATGGGCTAAATGCTGGCAAATGGGATTAGATCAGTTGGACCAAAGGGTCTGTTCCCATGCTGTAAAAATCTATGACTACAAGTGTTAAGTTATTTAGTTTGATATAAAACACAGATAGGCAGAATGTTTATTAAATGGTGAGAAGTTGGGAATTGAGAGTGTCCAAAGTGACCTGGGTGTTCTTATTGATGAGTCACTAAAACCCAGCACACAATAACAGTAAGCACTTAGGAAATCAAATGGTACATTGGCTATCAATGCAAGTGGATTTGAGTACAGCAATAAACATTTCTTGATGCAGTTATACATAGCCTTGATGAGATCTCACACATGGTAACATACAGAGTTTTGGTCCTTGTATATAAGGTGGGGTATACTTGCCATGACAGGAAGTGCAACGGAGGTTCCAGATTATTTGCTGAGAGGGTGGGATTGTCAGATGAGGAGATATTGAGGAGACTGGGTCTGTGTTTCTTAATTTTCGAAGAATGAGGAGTGAACTTACAAAATTTTTTACAGGGTATGACAAGGTGGATTTAGATAGGATAGTTCTCCTAGTTGAGGAGTTAAAACTGGGCACAAAATGTTAGGATAAGGGGTGAATTTTTTAAGACCAACATGAAGAGGAACTTTTCGCAACTGGCATGTTTCAGTATGGACCACAACATCTTCATAAACAATGATTTGTTTAAGGTCATCCTTTATAATTTTTTTCGTTATATCTGGAACAAAACTCCTTTTACGATTAATGTAAAATGTCACTCTACTTTGGGTCCAATTTTCTCCACATGAATTTCAATAGGATGGCATAAGCTTTTAGAGTTTCATATATCATTATAATCAATAGACAAAAGTTGTACTGAATTTCAAACCACTGCTCTTCTTTAATCACTTACCTTCATCTGGGCAAAAGGGCGTTCATAATTGCCAACATATAGTAGTCCAACAGTCTGTGTCAGTAAGCTACGGAAAAGAAAAATATATACATTCATTTCAAATAACAGGACATTAGAATCTGTATGCGTAAAAGACACAAACGGCTAGCAATCTCACTAACTCATGGTAAAGCCAATATCAGATGTGGGTGGAAAAACTGCATCTAACACCCAGTGCTTTAAAGATAGAGGCAGAATTACCGAAGTATCAACATCAATGGAAGATCAATTTTAGACCCTAGCCTTTCCATTTGCGGATAAACTGTCTTTTGTGCAGAAGCTTGATGTTAGCAAAGGGTCTTGGAAAATTCAGAGCAGTCTCTTTCACATTTACATATAAAACGTACCCTTCCTCAATCTTTTCAGGAGTTAATGCAGTAGTTTAACAGATCAATTGTACGGGATGGGAACAGAACTGAGATGAGCAACTGTGGTGAGAAAAAAATTAACCTTCTCCTTAGGATGCCTCAAAAGTACTGACAAATTTGCGGTCTGGCAACATCTGTACACAGAGTTAACGTTTCAAGGCCAGTGGTTTTTTGGAACTCACACGCTAACTGTTTTGTTCACAACAGATGTTGCCAGACCAAATTGCCAAATTTCTCCAGCACTTTCTGTTTGTGTTTTAGGTAATAACCAGATCTGGTGTGCTAGTAACGGGTGACGGACAAATGCTGGTCATAACACCAAGATATTTCTTTGGTCATTTTAGAATTGTGTAATGGGTTCTTTCACATCTATCCATTAGACAGACAACTGATCTAATGGAAGCAAGCCAGATTGACTCAGAATTTGATAACCAGATTTTTAATTTTTTTTTGATTACTGATGCCTGAAGCATTCTATTTATTTGGGAAATATGTTCCTCACAGATTTGGTCATACCTGGTGTCATTATGCCTCAGTTGGTGGTACTCCGATGTTACCAGCTATTTGCATGCAGCAGGAATCCATAAAAACTAATAAAAGACCAATTAATTTGTTTACACAGTGTTACATAACAGATAAATGTTATCCAGGGTACAAGGAGAGCATCCAACATGACTCTTAACAATTTGTCATACCTCTCTATGCCTCTGTGCTTGTAACACTCAAAAAGTCTCCATTCAAATTGGATTCTTTGGAGGGTTTTGATGAAATTAAACAGTTACTCAGGAAAAGTTAGTCTATTAAATACATAGTTAAACTTCTGAATAATAATCAAAGTGACCCCAGACTTATCTCACACACACCCAAACACACCAGCACAGACCACGTAGCCCTCCAGACCCTGAGGTGAACCCCATCATCCCACTAATACCCACTGCTGTCAGACCAAACCTGACATCAAGGTCCCTCTATTTGTCTTCCTAAAGTCCTAACATTCAACCTTGCTTTGTTAGACTTCTTAAAATGTATTATCTCACACTTTTAAGACTAATTCATTTGCCATTTTTTGGCCTATGTGACCAGCCCTTCTATATCATCCTGTGGTTTACGACTTTCTTCCTCACTATTTAGCACACCATTAATTTTTGTGTTAATTGCAAAATTACTAATCATACCTCGTATATTCACATGTAGATCAAACAACAAACAAAACCAGCACTGAAGCCTGTTACGCCACTGGACGCGGGGTTCCAGCCACAGAAACACCCCTTTGACCATCAACCTCTGCTTTCTGTGACTAAGCTAATTTGGATCCAATTCACCAAATTACCTGGGATTCCATTGGCTCTTAGCTTCTTAACCAGTCTTCTATGTGAGAGCTTGTTAAATCCCTCACCTGAAGTCCATGCCAACTACATGAACAGCACTAATCTCACTATTCACCTAGTCACCTCCTCAAGAAATTCAATAAAATTTGTTAGCCATGTTTTCCCAGACAAAGCCATTCTGACTATCTTTGCCTTTCCAAGTAGAGATTAATTCTGTTACTCAGAAATTATTCCAGTCATACAGCTTACAGACCGATGTACTTATGGGTTTCAGCAGCTGTCAAAAGGGCTGTCAGGATCTTTAAATGTCAGAATACAGTAGCTGACTGCTATGAAAAGGGGGCGTGGTTTGCATTCCACTGACAGTTCTATGCTATGAAAGAACTGTTAGAATGGAAATATACCTCTGCATTTTTGAGAGTGTCCTAAGTGGAATCTTCTCTCAGAAATGTAGAGGTCTCTTCTTTCTTAGTAGAATCCAGCTCATGGTATCCAATTTCTGAATGGCAAGATCCAGAAAAAGCACTCCAACTCAAGCTGAAGCAAGCTGGAAATGCGCCCATTGCAGAATGCTGTTTTGTCATAAGTTCATTCCTTCAGCTGAGATATCTGCATGATCTGCTGGCTCAGGGGGATATTGAAAACCCTATGCCAGTACCATGAACAAAAAGTGTTCTTGGTGTCCTGACCATCATTCTCCCCAAAAATACAAATGAACTGGGCATTTATCTTAAATAAAAACCAAAAGAACTGTGGATGCTGTAAATCAGGAACAAAAACAAAGTTGCTGGAAAAGCTCAGCAGGTCTGGCAGCATCTGTGAAGGAGAAAACAGAGTTAACGTTTCGGGTCCGGTGACCCTTCCTCAGA